TTTTGCAAGGAAGATCAGCCCTGAGCTAACATCCGTGCCAATTCTCCTCTTTTTGCTGAGGAAGACCGGCTCTGAGCTAACATCTATTGCCAGTCCTCCTCCTTTTTTTCCCCAAAGCCCCAGTAGATAGTTGTATGTCATAGTGCACACCCCTCTAGTTGCTGTATGTGGGACGCGGCCTCAGCATGGCCAGAGAAGCGGTGCGTCGGTGCGCGCCTGGGATCCGAACCCAGGCCGCCAGTAGCGGAGCGCACGCACTTAACCGCTAAGCCAGAGGGCTGGCCCCCTGCCCCCTATTTCTAAACTAGATCGCATCCATTCATCATGTGTCAGGAACAGGCAGGGCTCTAGCTGGCCAGCAGTCGCTGGGGGGAGTCTGAGAAGGCCTGGAATAGCTCCACGCCAGCTGTGTGATGCTGGTCACACCACTGCCTCTCTGAATCTCAGCTTCCTCATCGACAAAGGAGGACACGTCCTCCTACCAGATTTTTAAAAGCGTTAAATACATATACAATCTAACTAAAACACTGGGAAAAAAGACAGAGTGTCCAGAAAGAGATGCAGGAACATATGAGAATCTAGCACACGGTACAAGTGGGGAAGGACTGCATTGCTGTAGGAGGCCTCGCCCAGAATGGTGGGTGAGGAGCTTGGAAGACTCGTTCCTCAGCAAACAACCATTTAACAGAGAAAGTTATACAACAATCAATCATTGGAAGTTTCTGGAAATTGACCTAAGGGCATACAGCAATGGAGAAAGATTAATTCAAGAAAATCTACTAAATCCAGGGAAGAACAGTGAAAGTCAGGGCTCCAGAGAGCTCTACCCCAGGTAGGGGCAGTCAAGATAACGGGGGTGCTGGTGGGGTGGTGATCCCCCTACCCTGGCTCCCAGAAGTTCCCAGATGTGGCAGGTTAAGAATTCTGGGTCCCCAACGACCCTGCCCCAGCTTGCTTGTAGGACAGAGGTTCCACGCAGGGAGGAGCAGGCCCAGGAGTGTCACTCCAGGAGAAGCCCAGCGCTGTCCCTGCTGCCAGTTCTTGTGCAGTGGCACAGAGGTCCTTCCCAGGGGGAGAGGCAGGCCAACAGTTGTGCCCGAGGGGACTGACTTTATTTGTAGTAGAGAATGGAGAATTCCACACGTCCCCAATTCCAGCCCCAACTAAAAGACAGCGGTGACATGACGGGGAGCACTGAAAAGGACCAGAGCAGCAGAAAGTGAACTGGTAGGGCAACCGGAAGTTAAACAGGGCCCAGGAGAGCCTTCCTGCGGTCGTGGTCACCCGTGAGGGTCAAGGAGGCTGCCTGCAAGTGCTAGACTGCACCCACTCAGGAGCAGGCTTGGGGCGGACCCGCAACCCCCACACCGCGCCCTGACCAACCAAAGGGCGAGTCCCACTGGCACTAGGAGCCTTGGCACAACCTCTGACCAAACACTGGCTCAACAATCAACTACTCTGCCCCAAGAGCAGCTCCGAGCAAGCCAGGCCGAAAGATAAAATCACACACATCCTTGGAGGCCCGGAGGACAACGTGCATGTCCAAGGATGCCCTCTCAGGAGAGATGGCAGACAGAAAACCCAAGCGACTAGTCCCTGGCTGCACGGTGGGCAGAACCATGAACTCCTGAACTGTGACAACAGCCTCCAAGCCACACACACACACAACGGGAAAGGGCACAAATCTGACTGGCTGAGGGGCTTAAACGCAACTTCTGACTAACAAGTGGCTTCTGCTGACCCAAGTGTGACCGCTAGGTAGTCAGGCTAAAAGATTTAAACAGGAAACAATCTGGGCGGGGAATCAGAGGCTGCACAGTGCAGGGAAATCGGCTGCACAGTGCAGGGAAATCGACTTCACAGAGTCAGATCAGCCAAGCCACTCACCAAACAAACAGAACAGCAGGCAAAGCACATCAATCCCTTGAGCAGAGGGATCAATACCCTGAGTTGCTGTAATATATTATCTAAACGTCTAGTTTTCAACAGAAAATGATGAGACACACAGAAACAGGAAAGTGTGACCAATATATGGGGACAAAGTAGGCACCGGAAACTACTGTTGAAGGGGCCCAGACGATGGCCTTAGCAGACTAAGATCCCAGAGCAGCCATGATCCTGATCAATATATTCAAAGCAGTGTTGTTGTGAGGTTCCAACACGGAGAGGAGGACCCACCAGGCAGGACAGCACGGCGGTCACGAGCAAGAGATCTAGAAGGGAGAACTGAGCACTAAAAGCACGTGACACGGAACCTCACAGACAGTAAACGCCCAACAAACGCTCTTCTTATCTTGTTCTAGAAACTGTGAGCCCTGTTACAAGTGCTGGCTCTTCAATCACTGGTGACCCGCCCAGGCTCCATTTCACCCCTGTGGCTCTGTCAGCGGGGCCTGCAGCCTGTGTACCGCCGTGGCACAGGGAGCCCCCGGCACATGGTAAGTGCTCTGGGAAGTTCACAGGCAAGTCCAGAGGCAGCACCATTCCAAGCAACTTGGGGGACTGCACAGTGCCTACCCTCAAGAGATTCCTGTCTGGTTTAGAAGAGATCCCAGCGCAGCAGAGAAAGCACCAGGGAGCCTGGGCCAGGGCTGAGTCTCCTATATGCGGGGAGAGCTTTGCCCCAGTTCTCTCACGAGACTGAAGGCCAAGGCACTGGGGCTAGCTTCTTTCTGTGTCCTCAGAGCCTGACATGTGTAAGGGGCTTAACAAATGCTTATGTGTGTAAGAACGTTTACAGCAGCATTGTTTCTAACAGCAAAAAAGTGAAAACAAAGGGGTAAATGCGGGGAAATGGGTAAGTGAAATAGGGGTACCCCCAGGTTAGTTTTTAAAATCATGTTCTTGAAAATGTGTGGATATGGGAAAATGCTAACAACAAATTAAACGGCAAAGGTTACTAAAACTAAACAATATAAATATGATCTCAACTTTTTAAAGTGTATGGAAAAAAAGATGCATTGAAAAAAAGATTGGAAGGAAATACATTAAACATTAACTGTGGTTTTCTGTAGGCAGTTAGATTATGGATAATTAAGTTTCCAAATTTTCTTTAATGGGGATGGATTATTTTTACAATCACAACATAAGAAGTCACTTTTTAAAGATGAAGGAGCAGTAACTGAGGCCCGTGGAGATGGCAGGCCTCCCAGGTGAGCAACACTCCGGGCCTTGAGGAACAAGCAGGAAACTTCATCTGCTCCTAGAGAACAGCAGCACGAGCCCCTACTCTGGGTGAACTGTGCAAGCCCTGCTCAGCACTGCGCCCTCAGTGCGCAGTGAGAAGGAAGCAAAGTCCCCTCAGTCTGCAACCCTCCAACGGCTTCCTACTGTGCCCTGAATAAATTCAAACTCCTTGCATGGCCTGCAAGGCTCTCCATGGTCAGGCCCATGCCCATGTTCCATCCACGCCCCCTGCCCCTAATGAGATCCCAGCAAGCTCTCTCTGGGGCCCTGGAACACACTGCAGTTTCTCACCTCAGGGCCTTTGCACTTGCTGGTCTCTCTGCTCTCCAATTTTTACCAGACTGCCTGCTTCTTGTCAACGAGATCAAGGCATGTGTGAGCTCCTCAGAGCTGCTGTTCCTGGCACCCAATCTAAGGCAGCCCTCCCCAGCCCACCTCCCTCATATGGGCCTGTTTTATTTTCTCCATAGCACTTTTCTGACATCTTAATGATCTGTTTATCGCCTTGTTCTCCCCTCGCTCCACGGGAACGCGGCTTACTCATCCACATTGGTATCTCCAGTAAACAGGTGCACCCAAAGCACTTGGTAAAAGAACGAGCTGAGAGCCCGCTCGGCCTCGGCCTCACCGGAGGGAGTAAGCTTAGGGTTACTTGGGGCACCTCCTCCGGGAAACTTTCTCTGATCAGCGCCGGGCACAGCCCTGTTCCCGGAGCCTGGGGCTTCCTCCCTCACTCTTGGGATGGCTCGGGCCGGTTGCCCCTTCCGTTGCCCCCGGCCCCGACTCGGGGTCGTCCCCGGCCCTGGAGGCACGGGGTGGGCGGGCACTTACGCAGTAAGCTCCGTCACCCCGCGGGCCACGGTCGCAGGCCCGGCCTCTCAGGCGCCGAGGCGAGGGCGCAGCGTCCGGGAGGGCTTCCTGGAAGCGGCGGCCTGTGCAACGGCGGGCGAGATCTAGAGGCTGCTGGAGGCTGGCTGAGGGGCGGCGACGCCCGGCCGGCCGCACGCTGGCGGGGGCCCGAGGTCCGCTCTTATGCGGTAACAATATTGGCAGCTGTCACCCGGCGGCCGCCGGCCCTGCGCCCCTTCCTCCGGCCCGCGCCCCGGCCCGCAGACCCGGCGAGCCGGAGGAAGCGACGAGGCCCGCCCGCCCGCGCTTACCGTCTCCGATGCCGACTCCCCAGCGCCCAGCGACATGGCGGTGGCGCTGCCCGGCCGCCCCTCGGCGCCGCGGGCGAG